AACCTAATACACCAAGTATCTCATCTCCATCCCCATTATCGGCCTCGATCCAGCCAACCCACTTTACGCGTGCTTCGTCACTCAGCCGCATGGAACACGATACACTTGCACGTATTGAAAATTTGCTCCAGGGGGCTTCCGATGATCTAATCCGTCACTTATTGACTCGCCTGGGATGCCGATGTCCGCGGACTATACCTAAACCTGTAGAGAGCAACCTGTCATTCAAGCCTGATGCACTTAGTTCCCCCAAGGGCGGGCAGATTGATCCCGGTGTCCAAGCATACATCGACCGGGCGATTGCGGATCAATTCCAGTCCGATAAACTCAAAATGATCTTCGATAGTATGGTGGACAAGGGGGTAGATCAGGTCTTCGATGCATGTAATATGCACGAAACCGAGTTCCGCGAGCAGGTGGAGGAATGTAATTCCGAGGTCCGCATCACCGCCAATGAATGCGTGAAGGACATACAAGAACAAGTACAAAAGTGTATGGACGAGATAGATGAGCATGTGCAACAGTGCATGGATGATATCAAGGTTCAGGGAGAGGAGGTGGAGATGTCTGCGGAGGAGGCAAAGGCAAATGTTGCTCGACTCAGGCGCTGGTTTGACATGCCGTCTGCCCAGGTCCGCTTCGGTGGCAAGTCAAGCCCTACTACGAGCCATGAGCTCAGCACTACCACCACTAATGTCAGACGCAGCTCCTTTTAGTGGTTGTTGGGGTGCTGGTTTACCATGCTTATGTTATTGTCATTTAGCATTGCTGTCGTGCACTGACGATGGTACTCCATTCATACTGCCCTGCAATCATCTCAACCTAAAGATGTTGTACCTGAGCTAGTTACCTAGTAATTTGTACATAGTGCTTCAGTGAGAGAAAGATACCCACAACAATCACATACTGTATTTCTCTGGCAGGGAATGTGATTACGGTAGTTCGGGGAGATATTTGAAGAAGTGATACTGTATGACTTCCAGTATGCTACAGTATGCTACAGTATGCTTCAGTATGCTACGGTATGCTAAAATAAAAATACATGATGTTAGTCGTGCACAGTATAGCTGGGTCATATGACCAGCACCTGTAAGCTCTTGCTCCGGGATTGCACGGGACACGCACTTCTATACTCCCTCCACGCTCCGGACTGCTCAGTGAGCGAAAAGCGGCGCCAAGTTGGACCTTTAGCGGAAAGGGAAAGGGAGATCCAGTTCAATTGTAGTCTAGTCGGGCAGTAAGGCCTGCAGGATGCAGATCGAATTTCAATCTAAGTTCAATGACCTCCGGGTCAGACCGTAGGGAAGTTTAGGGCTCACAGCAGGAGAGAAATGGATGGATCCAACGGTTTTCTGAACTACTGCGAAATTGACAGGTATGGCTTCAGGGGACTTTGGCGGGTGTCCTTGACTATCGCGTCACTGATGCAGGTTCTACTGAGCAGATGTATGTGCACATCATGATTAACGCAAATCCTCCTAGCGGTATGAATGAATGTGTCCACCCGATCTCTCTCCCGGCTGTGGGTTCCAGCACTGAGACCTGGACCACTTCTGCCCCTGACCTGACGTACTCGTAGAAACGGAGCAAAGATGAGATCTGCGAATGGGGCAGCCACCAGAAGGGGAAACCTTTATTCTTCTGTCCTCTCCTCATTTGCTTCTGTTTCTTTTCCTGTTCCTCTTCCCGTCACCTCACCCCCGGTTCCGTCCTCAAAGCATGATGAGCCTGGTCCTATCCCTTCAGCATGGGTTAGGTACACTATAAAGCGAATACCGGAACACGATAGTCGACTTTGAGATCAGGCTACCAGTCTAAGTGTCATCACTCTCGTTTCGGAAGCTTGAGCAGCTTGTCGCCTTGTAGGCAGACACAAACTGCTGGCAGTGCCCTTGAAGAGTTCATGAAGAGTTAACGCAATCGGACGACACTCTTGACGGTTGACGAAGATATCGCTCTGAACCATCATGGCTTCTCTCAAACGGTTCTTCCACACCGAGAAGTCGTCGGGAACGCCCCAAGATGGTCGAGACAATCGGACCAGATCGTTGGGGAGTGATACGAGGATAACCTCACAGCCCAGCGGTTCCCAGACCAGACCCTCTGAACCAACTCACAACATGCGTGCACGCCCGACGACATCTTATTCTCAACCACCGTCCTCACTCCCTTCGAGCCCAAGGCCAGACAAAATCCCTCGACATGTTGACTTGCTTGATGCACTATTCACGTCGCATCGGTATCATATCCAATGCCCTACTTCTCTATCGCCAATCACTCCATACAATGAGGACATCGCGGAAAGGAACATGGCTTTTTTCCTCAAAGGAACGTTTCTTCCCAAGGTGGTATATCCCCGACCCACCTCTTTACAAGGAGATGTCGCAAGAAACGTGTTCGGAAGGAACAGCCGTTCTCTCCCACGCAGTACGAGTACACGACCGAAATCAGCACAGGGGTTGCCTCTCCGGCCATCCCATCCAAGTGGAGAAACCTCCACAAAAGAACGGCCTCGCTTGCGGGCGAGGGAAGGCCGTGTAGCAGCTTCTTCGACCTACAAGTCATGCGCTCGTCCCGTGCCTTGCGCGCGTGATGGAGATCCGGAGTCGTCGATGGAAATGAGTTCCCAAAGAAGCTCTTTGCGCTCGCAGAGATCAGCACCTAATCTAGTGGCCGAACGGCCCACGACTTCTGATACAGAGCCCCCGACACCCAGCAATGGCTACCTTGGTGTGCCTCCGGCGTACAAGCAAGGCCGCAGATGGAGCACTACCCCCCTCCCAGATAGTCCCACGATACCATTGTCAATCAGCCATGACCAGAGTGTGAGCGAGGATGAGTCAACCAATGACACAACCGGCGTCAGCCAGACCCCCAAGGATCATTCTCAGGCCGCCTCTTCTCGATCTAGTTCTAAGAAGAACGTCCGAGATCTTTCCATTAATACAGAGCTGGCAGCTCGAAGAAATCCCACCTCAAGCGCAACGCACCGTGCCATACAGCCACCGACCCCTAATACCACTGAGTCGGCACAACACCTGAGCATTGCAGAGGTCATGAACAGCCCCTTGCCAGTGGTTTCACCCACGGCAGTCTCGCCTTTACCTCCCGCAGCTGAGAAGGTTGCGGAGATTATGGACATGTTTCGACGGGCCTATACGTCCTCACCGGTCATGACGCCTCACCCAACGTTCGAGACCCTCCAAGATGCTATCATCCGTGAAATCAACTCCCATGACGCCTTCAAACGGTTGACATTTCCCGAACCGGAAGGCTCTCTTACCCCCTCTCCTTCTCAGGAGTCGTTTGACAAGGGTCTCAGCGTGCCGCTGTACCCTAATACGGGATCTGAACGAGGCCTCAACGCGAAAGAAGGCCAACTCCTCATGTTGATCCGAAAGAGCTCCTTCAGGAAGCATAAACGAAACTCGGAACAACGCAGGAGCATCTCAACAAGCGTGCCTACGACAGTTACACCTCAAGCACCAGAAGGGGCCATTCGACGGAGACACACCGATGCCCCGTTACCATCAGACCGCGTCTTGGGCACAGTAGCCGCAGTAGCCGCAAGTGAGCAAACCCTCGAGGAATCCGAGATGATGCCCATGACCTACATGGATCTACTGCTGCGGTCCGAGGAAGCGGCAGCCGACATTGCCACGAAAAGAGCTTGTCGCTTATCAGGAAACACGACCCAGTCCACGTCCACGTCCACGCACTCCCTCCCGTGCGAGAAGGCGGATCGCACGCGGCCGTCGCCATCTGTCCTCTGCATGCGCGCCCACGGCTCCGATTCCATCCAGGGCTCCCGCTCCAGCTTTTCCGACGACGAGAGCGACGAAGAGATCATCGAACTGCCCAGCCTCGAGCCTCCGGAAGTGATGATCCACGGCGTCGACTACGAGCATGCGGCGGCGGTCCCCGCTGCGCAGACCACAGCGATCAAAAGCCCTTACCGGATCATGAGCTGGCCGCGCAAACCCACCAACAGCATCGTAAATGTGAACTAGCTTTTCTTCTCTGTCTAACGCTTCAAGCGCTTCGCTTTCAGGCTCCCCGGATCCGACAATCCAAGTTGTCTGACCGGCTGTACCTCCATCCATTCGCTTGGAGGGCAGTCCTTCGCAAATGAGACCGTTTCATGATACCCATTTATATGCATGTCCACTTCAATCAATCTTCCCCTCCTTGCACGGTTTCTCTCCGACTCTATTCATTTCTGAAAGAGAAACACGACGATGTCTTCCTCACGAACGAGTGCTGAACATGATCCTTCTGTCTCAAAAGCTGACTTGTTGTTACGTGCTCCTGCTGGACCATCTCTCCTTGCTACTGCAGAGACACCTACCGGTCCTCTGCTATCCACATTCATCGCACAGATGCATCATCGCCTATTCATTTTCATTTGGTTTTCTGCATATGAGCGCAACCATTACTGCTTTCTCATGTCTCTCCTTCCTGGCCTTCTCATGTACAGTTAAAACACAGACTAGCTCATCAGCCGAAAGCGATGAAGATTAGTCAATGATTGTTGAAAGTACCGTACCTGAATGTAATCATTCCGTGCCCAATCATTTCTCCCGTCCTATTTCTCAATTTCCCAGCAATCCCACGAAGACCTCTTCTACTCCTCAATTTCAGATAACAGCACACTGCCCATTGAAAAGGTATCTGATGCAAGTAAAAGCACGACATTTCTAGAAAACTCTTGATTCTTTCTTTCAAAAGAGAAAAACTCCTCATCACGCGCTTTCTTTTCCTTCTCTCCCAAACAAACCCCATCCCAACCCCAGGTTTTTCAGACACACAACACAAAAGAAAAACTGTAATGGCAGGAAAGCAAAGTCATAACAGTCATGGTACGAAGATAAGAAGATGAGGATATGCACATAGAATGGAAAAGAAAAATAGAACCACTCTTAATTTAAAACAAAGTAGTGGTAAAATGAGAAGTTAGTTGCAAGTGATGTGATATTGAATAGTATGACGACGGAAAGCGCTTAGTAAGAGCCTGAAAAGGGAATCTGGGTTAGTGAAAATGGTTCGGAGATGATGGCAACGATAAAACTTACGGCCGAACATGCACCACTTCTCGGCAGGGCGGGTACACTTGGGGTTGCAGCACTTGGTCTCGCCGGCGACGATACCCTCGGGCTGGTCGAAGGGAATACAGAGGGACTTGGCGCCCATGCTGGGGGCGCGGGCGTCCTGGGCCTCGCCGGAGTCCTCCTCGGCCTTGCGGGCGCTCATGTCCTTGATCTGGTCCTCGCACTCCTCGGTCAAGCAGTGGGGGATGATGCAGACATTCTTGTCGTTGAGGGCGGGGGTGAAGTCGTCCCAGTTGGTGATAAGCTTGCGGTGGGAGCGGTACTCGTTGTCGGCACGGTTGTACAGGTCCTTCTGGATGGTCTCGAGAAGAGCGGGGACGGCGGTCGCGAGCTCGGCGATCTGGATGGGCGCCTTGCCGTCCTTACCGGGGATGTCACGGCGAGCGGCGGTGACGAAGCCGCCGGCCATCTCACCGGGACCGAACTCAATGCGCAGGGGCACACCGCGCAGCTCCCACTCGTTGAACTTCCAGCCGGGGGAGTAGCCCTCGCGGAGGTCGGAGATGGCGCGGACGCCGGCGTCCTGAAGAATGGAGACCAAGCGGTCGATCTCAGCGTAAAGCTTGCTGCGCTCCTCGTCCGAGGTCTTGGCGGTGATACCGACGGGGACGATGACGGTCTGGTTCTCAGCCACGCGGGGAGGGAGGACAAGACCGCGGTTGTCACTGTGGATCATCACCATGACACCCAGAGTACGGGTCGACAGACCCCAGGAGTTCTGCCAGACGTGGATGGGGGGCTTCTTCTCGTCACCCTTGGCGGAGGGGTCCTCGACGGTGATTCCGAACATCTTACTGAAGTTCTGGCCCAGACCGTGGGAAGTACCACCCTGAATACCACGGCCAGTGGCGGGAATGTAGCCCTCGACGGTAGTGGTGTAGAGACCACCGGCGAACTTCTCCTTCTCGGTCTTCTGACCCTTGACAACGGGAACGGCCAAGAGCTCCTCGTAGATGCGAGCGTAGAGGTCGAGGATCTGCATGACTTCCTCATGGGCCGCGTCCTGGGTCAGGTGGGCAGTGTGACCCTCCTGCCACAGGAACTCTCTGGTTCTCAAGAAGGGCTGGGGGTGCTTGAACTCCCAACGAACGACAGAGTTCCACTGGTTCAGCTTGAGAGGAAGGTCACGGTGACTTCTGATCCACTTGGCGTAGTAGGGGTACATGACGGTCTCAGAGGTGGGACGGATAGCGATCTTCTTCTCCAAGGGGGTGGAACCACTGAGGTATAGAGACGGGACAGTTAGCCATCACGCGACCAAAGATAACCAGAGATAAGGGGAGTTGCATACGCATGGGTGACCCAGGCGACCTCGGCCGCGAAACCCTCGATGTGGTCCTTCTCCCGCTGCAGGACATCCTCAGAGACAAAGAGAGGGAAGGAGCAGTTCTTGACACCAATCTTCTTGATGTATCCGTTGAACCAGTTCTGGATCTCCTCCCAGATAGAGTATGAAGCGGGCTGGCGCATGATCAGCATGGGTGCGAGCCAGATAAGATAACCTGAAGACCACCCACCTTGAGGATGAAGCATCCAGAGACATCATAGTAGTCGAGCATGTCACCCTTGGTCAGGACCTGCTGGTACCAACCGGGGAAGTCCTCCTCCTTGGAGACATCGATACCGATCAGAGCGGCACCGTCAATCTTCTTCTTGGGGGCCTTGGAGGCGGGCTTCTTGGCCTCCTGCTTTCCAATTCCCTTGTTGGCAGCATTCCCCGCCTTCTTGTCGGCCTTATCTTGGGCCAACTTGGCCAACTTGGCGGCCTTCTTTGCAGCGTTCTTGGAGACCTCGCCTTGGGGAGCAGCAGCGGCATCGGCGGGGGCCTGAGTGCGGTCAGGCAAGGTTTGAGCGGCAGCCGATTCGGCGGGAACCGCAGCGTCAGCGGGGGCTTGACTGGACATTTTGGAGTTTGAGGGGAGGGCCTTCGGGCGGGAGAAGAAGAAAGAAGGACCAAACTCGAAAATGCAGTCGAGAGAGACAGAAGATGGGGTCGAGCGGTAGCGCGGAGAAGGGGAAAAGGCGAAGGAAGAGGCCGAAGAGCCCCTCTTTTTGAGTCAAAGTGGGATGTCTCCTTGCGCTCCCTCACCGCTCGGGGCCCGGCAGAACTTTTAGCGCAAAGGCAAAGGCCCTCTCCCCGAAACAAGTCGAACGCAGCAGCCACAAGCAAAGCAAAAGCAGTCCTGTTAGCTGTCGGAGCTTTTCTTCTCTTTTGCACCCTTCTCCTTATCTCCTTGTCTGTTCCACAACTATGGCAGGCATCTTCGAGGCTCCGCGGAATGCGGACACCCTTTGTGAGTTTAATTTTCATATTTCCTCGGACTCCACCGTTCCCCTGGACCTCTTCAAACTGACTACGAGCTTCGCACAGTCTTGGGTGGGCAGAAAATCACCGGTGCTGATGTACGGGAGCAGAACGGTATGTGTTCGGAAGAAAGCTCAATACTTACGGATGGATGTTGATCAAATCTCGCAGTCCTTGCCACGCAGGCGATCGCAAATGTCGTCAAGAGCTCCTTTGGCCCCTCCGGCTTGGACAAGATGATGGTGGATGACATCGGTGTATGTCTGCCCTCGCAACCCCGTCTACCCAACAACAGCCTCTCTGACGCGAATCTAGGATGTCACGGTGACGAACGACGGTGCGACTATTCTCAGTCTTCTCGATATCGAGCACCCCGCCGGAAAAATCCTCGTCGACTTGGCTCAACAACAGGATAAAGAGGTCGGTCCTGCCGTTTGCCTACGTCTCGTTCGGCAGAGAGGAACCATTCACGCTGACATCTGTCTAGGTTGGCGATGGTACCACGTCGGTCGTTTTGATTGCTGCAGAGCTCCTGCGAAGAGGCAACGAATTGATGAAGAACCGCATACACCCCACGACCATCATCAACGGTTACAGACTCGCCCTGAGAGAAGCCGTCAAATATATGAATGAGAACATCACTACGAAGGTTGAGACCCTTGGCAAGGACAGCCTGGTCAACATCGCCAAGACTTCCATGTCCAGCAAGATCATCGGTGCCGACGGCGATTTCTTTGCCAACATGGTCGTTGATGCCATGCTGGCTGTTAAGACCATCAACCAGAGAAACGAGGTCAAGTACCCCGTCAAGGCAGTCAATCTGCTGAAGGCACACGGAAAGAGCAGCAAGGAGTCGGTCCTTGTCAACGGCTACGCCCTCAACTGCACTGTCGCCTCCCAGGCCATGAAGACTCGGATAACCGATGCAAAGATTGCCTGCTTGGACATGAACTTGCAGAAGGAGAGAATGAAGCTTGGTGTTCAGATCACAGTTGATGATCCCGATCAGCTGGAGAAGATCCGCGAGAGAGAAGCCGGCATCGTCCTTGAGCGTGTTGAGATGATCCTCAAGTCCGGAGCTAATGTCGTCCTCACCACCAAGGGTATTGACGACATGGTGCTCAAGCTGTTCGTGGAGAGAGGTGCCATGGCCGTCCGCCGTTGCAAGAAGGAGGATCTTCGCCGGATCGCCAAGGCCACCGGTGCCACCTTGGTGAGCAGCCTGTCAGACTTGAATGGTGATGAAAAGTTCGAGGCCTCGAACCTGGGTCACGCAGAGGAGGTTGTGCAGGAGCGGATATCCGATGATGAGTGCATCCTTGTCAAGGGCACTAAGGTACACACCTCGGCGTCGATCATCCTGCGGGGCCCCAACGATTTCACTCTGGATGAGATGGAGCGTTCAGTGCACGACTCCCTTTGCGCCGTGAAGCGGACGTTGGAGAGCGGCAGCATTGTCCCCGGTGGTGGTGCCGTCGAGACGGCTCTTCACATTTACCTGGAAGAGTTCGCTGTCACAGTTGTATGTTCTCCACCATCCCCCGGATTTCACCATATGTGCCTGCAAAACTAACCACATCCTCTCCAGGGCTCTCGCGAGCAACTCGCCATCGGTGAATTCGCCCAGTCCCTCCTGACCGTTCCCAAGACCTTGGCCGTCAACGCCGCCAAGGACTCGTCCGAGCTTGTCGCCCAGCTCCGCGTCCGACATGCTCTTTCGCAGCGTGTGCAGGACGGTGATGCCAACGAGGAGGAGAAGGCCATCGCCAAGAAGAAGACCTACCGCAACTATGGTCTCGACCTGACCAAGGGTCGTGTTCACGACACCCTCAAGGCCGGTGTCCTCGAGCCTAGCATGGGCAAGATCAAGCAGCTGAAGAGTGCCGTCGAGGCTTGCATTGCCATCATGCGTATCGATACCATGATCAAGTTGGACCCGGAGAGGAAGGAGGATGATGGTCACGGTCACTAAATCAAGCCTGTTGGTGTCTTGCTTGCTTTAGTCCACCCCTCTACCCCAATTCCATCTTTTCCCTGTTTCTTCATATGGAGTTCTTAGATATTTAGGATGAAGGAAGAGGAAAAGTATAATCAAGATATGAAGTATATTATTGTATCTCCTGAAATATTGTTGCACATAATTACGTGCTCCGGGGACTTGTATTGTTCAAACTCCACGTTCAAACTCCACGGGTAAGGAAGATTGGCGTGGCGTAGAGTAATGAGACACTCATGTTACTACCGTATTCATTGTAACGGGCAGAAAAATTATAGGATCTATAAGCTTGACTTTAAGATTCGATAGCTTCACTATCGCCGGTAGATTGTACCTTCCCCTCGACTATCCGAGCAGAACTCCCTGCTCCCTGCTTTGCAACAACAGGCTTCCATGAACAAACGGTGAAACAAGCTCTCTAAGGACAAGAAGAGAACAGACAAAACATAAACAAAACACCCGCTAAAAAGAACATAGACATGGATATAGGCCGAAACGCCACAAGATGCACAAACTGAGAGCCGAGGGAAAAATTGAAAAGTAAGAACAGCGCTGAAAGAATTTGCCAGAAGAACTAGGAGAGGAATCATTCATCTTCGTCGTCATACGAGTCCTGCGTTTGCGCCCACCCGCAGCGCCAGCGTTTGCCTTCCGTCTCGCCGCTTGTGCGTAGATCCCGGGCCTCAGGCCCCTCCCGCCAGCATCGGGCGCTGTAATCATCGCTGACCGTGACGAGTTCGCCGTCGACGGTCCAGGATACGGCGGAGACTTCTTTGGCGTGGCCTTCGATTAGAGGCGTGCCGGATTGATAGATAGGAACAGTGTCCTCCAGTCGGCCAGATAGACCGACGCCTGAGTTGGTGCGGCGAAGGAGGCCGGAACGAGTGGAGAATGGAGTGGCGGGAAGTGAGTCCGTTTCTGGAGATGTGGAGCTGGCGGGTGTATTCGAGAGGAACCTCTCGTCTGTGGGAAAGAGAACGGCGCAGCGATCACTGCTTCCAACGGCTAGCATTTCGGGCTTGTCGCCGGCAGCTTTACGGACTCCAACTTTGACGTAAAACGAGGATACCTGCAGACGAGGGTGGCGGAAGCCATACAAAGGGCCGAGACCTTCCTTGTCGGAGCCGCCCGAGCGACGTGGGCGGTTGTTGTTGAGGGAAAGCTCGGGGGCATTGCCGAGGATCAGGTGGGATGTGGAATATGTATAGACGGTGCCGTCGCGGCATAGTGTATAAAGTCGGGAGCCGTCCCCGCCTAGTGTGACCGAGGTAAGACCAAAGCGTCTGTACTTGGCGTGGCTTTCGGGTTCCCGGGTCGTAGACAGAGGGAGAACAGGTCGGTTACGGCGATTGTGATGTGTGGTGCGGAGATCCCACAGTCGTACGCAGGCGTTGGCCTCAGAAGCAGTGACAAACAGGTTTTCGCGGCCTGGAGGGAGGAAGGCTAGCGAAGTCACGGTGATGTCGGAGCGGCGAATTTGGGGTTCTAAGCCGGGGGCCGCAGCGGTCTGTGGCATCCATGCATGCGCGCCATGGATGGTGTTCATGACCTGAGGAAACGTAGTTTTGGAGGAGATGGGTGAAGTGGTTGGTTCTGACTCGGATTCAAGCGAGCACTGTACTTGTAAGCAGGGCTTGTCGAACCCTTTGCATCGAAGATCCCAGATGTTGACATTGCCGTCTCTACTGCAGGTTGCCAGAACCTTGTTGTTGGCCGCCGGTTGAAATTGAACTCGCTTGACGGAAGAGACGTGGTTCGAGAGACAGTAGATCGGCGTTTGGGTGGTCATGTCGATGACTAGCGCCGTTTGGTCGCCCGAAGCCGTTGCGAGCAGTAAATCATCGGATGAGAACTCCAAGTCCATAATCGAATTCATATGCGGACGGAAGGTAAGGTATGCTTGCGAGAATCCGTTTTTGTCGCCTTTGGCAGAATCGAGCAATCTGATACCACCCTCCTCGTCACCCACAGCAACAAGACTATTTGCTGCACATCAGTCAGTAAACATAGCCCAATACTTCTGTACACCCGGGTCACCTCACTGTTGCATGACGCCGTGCAGAACGGAAGAACATAGCGATCGCCGGCAACACTAGCGCAGTTGTGGCTGTCACTTGAGCGGGAGTAGAAATTTGAGGTCAGATCCTGCCAGCCTTGGAGAGAGTTAGACTAAGCGCCCAGTATAAAATAGCGGGATAACATACCAGCTCCAGAGTTTGCTCGCATGGTAACTCTATTTGCGCGATTCCCCAAAATACTTCGCATGTATAGCGCCCCCGATGTTTGTAAAGCCTGCGAGCGACGAACCGGAGGAACTTGGCGAGGAGGTTTGGGGGCGAAGATGGTGAGCTTGGGCTCATGTTCCGGTATGCTGCTCACATTCAACTCGAATTTCCGGACTGGGGCGGCTAGCTCTTGATCATATTTGACTGACTCCCTGACATGGACTTCTTTAAGAGGTGAGGACTGAAGAGGCGAGCCAATGGATGAGAAGGAGAGTTTCCGTCTCTTGCTGGGGGTCCGTATGAGTTCGTGGGACTCGGATCTGTGTTCGATAGCCTTCAAGGTCTTCGTAAAGGCTGGGCCCAGCCGATTGACAGCGGGGGAGCTAAGTGTTTTCAGTGCCTGACGGTTGGTCCTGACTGCGCTCGCATTGTTGTTATTGCCGCTACTCAGCATAGACCGAGGCGTGAAGAACCTCTTGAATGAGCGCGGAGTGACAGGAGGAGGCTTCCTGGGCTTGCGTCGGTAGCCAACATCGGAGGCTATTGACGGTGGGGAGGAAGGAATATCCTGTGATGAGGGAGGGAAATAAGGCTCCGATCGAGGTACTTCAGGGAGATCATGATAGCCGTCCATTGTGTCCCGTAGACAGATCAAAGCACACGGACATTCTATGCGATGAGCGAGTGAGTGAAAGAAAGTGCTTAGTGACCCAGGTGGCAGAGAATGAGAGAATGAGAGGGAAGAGGAGGTGGAGCAGGGCTCGAGAATGAAGGAAGGCCCAGCAATGATGATTCCACTTTGGTTTAGTTTGGTTCCTTTTTCTGCCCGGCGCGGAAAAGTCTCGTGTCGACGTGCCTCTTTCGTGACGCGCATGTCCCAAAGCCGCAGGCGGTGAGTCTCTCTATTAAAGTGGGAGGACAGTCCCGATGTGGCAGGCGGTCTCCCCGACCATCGGCTTTTCCGTCTAAATTTTTTAATTTTTCGTCTTGAAGTCCGCCGGTCAAACTACTTGGACTGGGAGCTTTGGAGCAGCTCGTCTAGTCATTTTTTTTTCCAATTCATTCACTATGGCTCCCATCAAGCGCAAGGGTAATGCCGCAGAGGAGGTATCGACCCGTCAACCTCAGAAGCGCGTAAGAGTTGGCGCAGACGATCGCAAGTCAGAAAAGAAACAGAAGAATGCCTCCGACGACAGCAAGCCCAAGTCGGATGCGCCGAAAGCCTCTGAGCTTTCAGTGCTGCGTGACGATGAGCCGTCTTTCCCCCGTGGTGGTGGAAGCGTTTTGACGCCTCTCGAACGGAAGCAGATTCAAATCCAAGCCACGAAAGACGTCCTTTTCGAACAAAAAGGTGCTAAGCCTTCTTCCAGCAAATTTGAGGGTGGGGAATTCGAGGAGGATACGGATATGGAAGATGCGGGTGAGACCGCCGCGACGGCTGGTCAGGCTTCCCGCAAGAAGAAGGTTAAGGGAAAGAAGCAAGCGGAGAAGGATGCGCAAGAGAAGGGCATTCGGATCGAGGGTCTCAACTTCAAGGTAAGCAAGTCTGGTCGCCAGTCTGTGAAATCTGTGCGCTTACAAAATTCAGCGACTTGTTCCCGGCAGCATGGTCCTCGGCCAAGTTTCTAGTATCAGCGCTCACAACATCGGACTCTCCTTGCCCAACAACCTTACGGGTTATGTGCCCCTAACCTCCGTGTCGCGACTACTAGAGGAGAAGATTGAGAAACTCCTCAAGGAGGACGGCAGCGACAACGAGGATGACGACGATGAGGAAGAGGACTCCCTGGATCTCCACAAATACTTCTACTTGGGACAATATCTGCGGGCAAACGTTGTCTCCGTTGGAAGTAATGCGGCCGACGCCAACCCCAAGAACCGACGCCGCATTGAGCTTTCCGTCGACCCACGACAGGCGAACTCCGGCCTCTCGAAGTCAGACCTCATTACGAATGCTGCAGTTCAAGCTTCGGTTGTCAGCGTGGAAGACCACGGTTTGGTCATGGACTTGGGTATCGAAGGTGCTGATGTCAAGGGTTTCATGTCATCGAAGGAAATCGACCCCAAGACGGACTCTTCGACCATCAAGGAAGGTTCCGTCTTTCTGTGTATGGTGACTGGTCAGAATGCCAACGGCAGTGTCATCAAACTGTCGGCAAACCTTCAGTCCGCTGGGTCCATCAAGAAGTCGCACTATCTCAGCAATGCCCCTACGATCAGCTCTTTCCTCCCCGGTACCGCAGCGGAGATCCTGTTGACGGACGTGACATCGACTGGAATGGTTGGAAAGATCATGGGTATGTTGGATGCCACCGTGGACTTTGTTCAATCTGGAGCCAACACAGGAAAGGAGGATCTGGTCAAGAAGTATCAAACGGGCGCGAAGATCAAGGCTCGCTTGGTCTGCACTTTCCCCGCCTCTGAGCCTTTCAAGGTCGGATTCACATTGCTCGACCATGTCGCCAAATTTGCGTCCGACGGCCATGGACCGGGCTCCTCTGACGATGCACCCGCTATCTCTGCCATTCTGCCCGAGGCTAAAGTCATTCAAGTTGACCCTGGAATGGGTGTCTACGTCCAAATCGGATCTACCAAGCACATCGGTTTCGTCCACGTCTCGAGATTGGCTGATGGCCAAGTGGAAAACATCTCGGCTGAGCATGGTCCCTTCAGCTTGAATACTGTACACGAAGCCAGAGTCGTCGGCTACAGCCACATCGACAACCTCTACCTGCTGTCTTTCGAGAGGAAGATTATCGACCAGCCGTTCCTCCGCCTCGAGGATGTGACAGTGGGAGCGGTTGTCAAGGGAACAATTGAGAAGCTCTTGATTGGAGCAAACGGCCTCGATGGTCTTATTGTCGTCCTGGCTGACGGAATCACCGGTCTTGTGCCTTCCATGCACTTTGCTGATACCCTTCTTCAATTCCCCGAGAAGAAGTTCCGTGAGGGTATGACGGTCTCAGCCAGGATCCTCTCGGTCAACCTGGAGAAGCGCCAGATTCGTTTGACTTTGAAAAAGAGTCTCTTGAACAGCGAGTCCGCTATCTGGAAGGACTACAAAGACATTACCCCCGGATCGCAGTCTCCAGGTACCCTTGTCAGCATCAAGCCTCATGGTGCAGTGGTTCAGTTCTATGGCACCATCCGCGGTTTCCTTCCTGTCTCGGAAATGAGTGAGGCTTACATCAGAGATCCCTTGCAGCACTTCAGACAAGGTCAGGTTGTCAATGTGCATGCACTCAGTGTGGATGCCTCGCTTGAGAAACTCGTGGTTTCTTGCAAAGATCCTTCGACTTTCACCGCAACCTACAAGGAGGCTTTTGAGAAGATTCATCCTGGCTTGCTTGTTTCCGGTACCGTGTTCGAGAAATCCAGTGATGATATGCTCCTCAAACTGGACGAGTACGGCCTTGTGGCTCGACTCAACCTTGAACATGTTATCGACGGTTCTCCCTCGAAGCAGGCTTCGACCCTTTCGAAAATCCGCGTTGGTCAAAAGCTTAACGAACTCCTTGTTCTCGACATCCAACGGGCCCATAGGCTCATCAAGGTCACCGGCAGACAATCCCTCAAGAAGGCTGTCAAGCAAGGTTCCATGCCTGCTTCCTTTGAAGATCTTAAGGAGGGCACTGAGGTCACTGGATTTATCCGCAACATCGCTCAGACTGGTTTGTTCATCGAATTCATGGGTGGACTGATTGGCCTCGTTCCCAAGCGTCTCATCGCCGACGAGAACGTGAACAAGCCCAGCTACGATATGGTTAGGTCACAAGTTGTCACTGCAACGGTCCACTCGCTCGACGCTGATTTCAAGCGGTTCATCTTGAGCATGAAGCCCTCCGAAGCCACCCGCGCTGGCGCCAAGAAGCCCGCCGTCAAGCCCGCTCCTACTAACGATGCAGTTACCAATGCTATCGACGAGAGCATCACCTCGATGTCTGACTTCACCTTCGGAAGAATCGTCAAGTGCAAGGTCGTTTCCGTTCGCGCAACTCAAGTCAACGTTCAGCTCGCCGATAACATTCAGGGTCGGATTGATGTTTCGGAAGTGTTCGACAAGTGGGAGGACATCAACGACCGCAAACAACCTCTTCGCTCCTTCCGACCTAAGCAGGAGATTGAGGCCAGGATCTTGGGAGTCCATGATGCTCGCAATCACAAATTCCTTCCCATCAGCCACCGTACCGGAAAGTTCCCCGTCTTCGAACTTTCCGTCAAGCCAAGCTTCTTGCGGGCCAGCAACCCCACCCCGCTCAACTTGGAGCAGGTCCAGAATGGCTCGTCTTGGGTGGGCTTTGTCAACAATGTCGCGGACAACTGCCTTTGGATCAACTTGTCTCCCAACGTCCGCGGAAGATTGCGCCTCATGGATGCTTCAGACGATCTCTCCCTTCTGGCTGATGTTGACAAGCATTACCCTATTGGCTCTGCCGTCAAGGTTCATGTCACGGCAGTCGACGCTGAGAAGGGTCGTCTTGACCTGTCTGCTAGACAACGCTCTGATAAGCTCTCGTTCGATGACATCTCGGCCGGCATGATCCTTCCCGGTAGAGTTACCAAGGTGACCGAGAGACAGGTCATCCTGCAACTCAGCGACACGATCGTTGGTGCAGTTGATTTGATTGACATGGCAGATGACTACACGAAGGCCAACCCTACCGTGTACCAGAAGAACGAGGTTCTCCGTGCCTATGTTGTGAGCGTCGACCAGGACAAGAAGAAGATTTCCCTTTCCACACGCCCATCGAAGGTTCTGAGCTCGGGTCTTCCCGTGCAGGACAAGGAGATCACTTCCATCAAAGATCTCGCCGTCAACGATGTGGTCCGTGGCTTCGTCCGCAGAGTCGCCGATAACGGTCTCTTCGTGACTGTTGGCCATGGTGTCACCGCCTACGTGCGTGTCTCTGACCTCTCGGACTCCTATCTCAAGGAGTGGAAGGACTCTTTCCAGAATGATCAGCTGGTCAAGGGTCGTGTTACTGTGGCCGATGCCGAGCAAGGCAAGCTGCAGATGAGCTTGAAAGAGTCGGTCTTGGATCCCAATTACAAGGCCCCGCTCACTCTCCACGACCTTAAGCCCGGCCAGGTCATTACCGGAAAGATCCGCAAGGTGCAAGATTTCGGTGCTTTCATCGTCATTGACGGTTCCGCCAACATCAGTGGTCTTTGCCACCGCAGTGAAATGGCCGATAACCGTGTTGATGATGCACGCACTCTTTACGAGGAGGGTGATGCTGTCAAGGCGGTCATCCTGAAGATTGACCGTAAGCAAGAGAAGATCTCTTTCAGTCTCAAGGCTTCATACTTCAATGACGAAGATGAAGATGAAGATGAAGACAGCGAAGAGGACGGTGACGACTCGGAGGGCGTCAGCCTCGATGGTTTCGGTGGAGTCGATGTCGAGGACAGTGATGAGGACAGCGACGTGTCCATGGGTGGAGTTGATGTCGACGACGATGAGGACAGTGGAAGCGAGAGCGAGGATGAGTCCATGGATGAAGCAGTTTCCGCTCAGCAAGGAGGACTCGGTGCAAACGCCTTCGACTGGAACGGCAACTCCAAGGACGCTGAGGAAGCGGCGGAGTCCGATTCCGATTCAGATGCTGAGTCTCGCCCTAAGAAGAAGAAGAACCGCAAGCCTGAGATCCAAGTTGACCGAACTGGCGATTTGGATGCCAACGGGCCTCAGTCTGTGGCCGACTACGAGCGATTGCTCCTCGGTGAACCTGATTCTTCGGTTCTTTGGCTGCAGTACATGGCCTTCCAATTGGAGTTGGGTGAGGTCGAGAAGGCGAAGGAGATCGCCGAGCGTGCCCTCCGCACCATCACCATTGGACAAGATGCTGAGAAGTTGAACATCTGGGTCGCCATGCTGAACTTGGAGAACACCTACGGCACTGAGGACTCCTTGGAGGAGGTCTTCAAGCGCGCCTGCCAATACAACGACACTCAGGAGGTCTACGAACGGTTGATCAGCATCTACATCCAGTCCGGAAAGAACGAGGTTAGTATATCCTTCGAAGATGATCCTTGGGTGCCACGTTTTGCTAATGACCCCCGATTACAGAAAGCGGACGAGCTCTTCCAGACTGCCCTCAAGAAGAAGGTCTTCGCATCCTCGAAGTTCTATGTCAACTACGCCAGCTTCTTGTTCGACACCATGGCTGACCCTGAGCGTGGCCGCGCCCTGCTTCCCCGCGCCCTGCAGTCACTGCCCTCCACCACGCACGTGGAGACCACCTCCAAGTTCGCGCAGATCGAGTTCCGGTCCGAGAACGGCGACGTCGAGCGCGGACGGACCGTGTTCGAGGGCCTTCTGTCCTCGTTCCCCAAGCGCGTCGACTTGTGGAATATCCTTCTGGATCTGGAGATGAAGAACGGCGACGCCGAGCAGGTGCGCCGCTTGTTCGAGCGGGTGCTTGGCATCCGCGATAACAAGAAGGGCGGCCCGGCCATCGAGGCCAGCAAGAAGGTTCGCCCGAAGCAGGCACGCTTCTTCTTCAAGAAGTGGCTGGCTTTCGAGGAGAAGCTTGGTAATGACAAGATGGTCGACGATGTCAAGGCCAAGGCCGCGGAGTACATCAAGGCGGTGCAGCAGCAGGAGTAAAGCAAGTACTAGGTACAGTACATGTCAGGCGGGTATTATCCAGGGATTACGGGACATTAAGGGATTCTTTTGTATATACATAAAAAGCATTTTTGCAATAAGGATATTGTCTTTTCACACTCTTCACACACCGCGACGCCTACAGCAACTCCGCTCCCAAGTAGAAAGGTGAAATTGCAGTCCATTATCTAGGCTGCCTTCCTCTTCTCCGCCATCAGCCGTCGATATTCCTCGACGATATTGCGTCTCTCCGTCGCCAACTCCTCACGGCGCCTCAAACTGCCCACCGCCGCCGGCACATTGGCGACATCCACCCGGGCGCCGCCGCGGATCTTGAAGACCTCCCTCGGTTTGGTCAGCTGCGGCGGCGCCTGCACGACATCCAGGGGATTGAGCTGTTTGTTCACGCGCTCGCGCTTGTTCAGCTTGGCCCACGGATCCGGATCATCATCCACAACCTCCCCCGTGCCATCCTTGCGCTTCTTATTCCCGGACCCCTTCTTCTTGGCCTTGCGCTTGCCCGCCTCGGCCTCCCACGTCTTCCACAGCTGCAGCTGCTCGTCCATCTCCTCCTCGCGCTCCTCGCGCTGCGCCCGCTCCTTCTCCACAATCTCCGCCTCCTCCTTCCGCCACATCGCCTGCAGCCGCAGCAGATGCTTCTCGTGCTTTGTAACCTTGTGCTCGCGGATATTGACCAGCTCCGCGGCCGCGGGCTTATTGGAGCGCTTCATCGCGGACAGCGGCATTTCCCTGTTGACGCGCGCGGCGAAGTCCGACAATTTCTCCCCGGGCAGAATCTTCGGTGCTGCTACCGCTGTCGCCGTTGCATCCTTCGCTTCTGAGTCTGGTGCTGTAGTAGCCATCTTCTTATTCTTCTGCTGCTGCTGCTGCTGCTGCTGCAGAGCACCACCATCCCCCTCGCCACGCTTGCGCTTCTTATTACTTTTGCTAGTCGTCACAACCTCCTCCTCCTCCTTCTCGTCGTCATCACTCTCCCCATGATTCTTGCGCCTCTTCTGCGCCGCAGCCTGCGTCTGTTGTTGTTGGCGCTGCATTAACCGTCGGAACGCGCGCGGGGTGTCATCGTCATCGAAGGCGGATTTTGCGCGGGAGGTGGCCGCCAGCGCCGCCGCCGCGTTCTTGGGAGATACCTTGGTGGCCGCCTTGGTCTGGGTCTGCTCTTTCCGGGCGACACCGCCGGGTTTCTTGCGGTTGTGGTTCTTGGGGCCCCCGGTTTTTTGGGTCTTGGTGGCGGTTGGGTCGCGGACGGGGAGGGATTTGGCGATTCGCGTGGGCGGGAGGTCGTATGTGCTTTTTTGCGTGTTAGTTGGAAGTTTTGGGGAGGTTTCTTTTTCTTGTCATGTGGTGCTGTGGTCCCCCGGGGTGGTGAATTTATCGGGAGGGGAGAGGGGGGTGCGCTTACTCGGCGTCTTTTTGCCGGCGTTTGTGTTTGTGAGGCATTTTGAGGGGGGCTTAATCCAATCGAAGTGGACTGGTTTGGTGGTGTTGGTGGTGGTTGTGGTTGTGGTGGAGAGAGGAATCGGAGTCGGATCGGGGAAATGAGATGGTTTGAAACTTTTTTTTACCTTTGCGGGCGGACAGCGGAGGAGGAGCGCGGGCTATCTTATCGCCGTGGGTGGTGATAAGAGATCACATCACCAACCACTATACCTACTGTCTGGATGCTGTTTTGCATCTCTGAATTATCGTGTATTTTCCGTTGAAGATCATTTGCCTGATGAACTTGTGTTTAAGAGGTTGAGCTACATCTCGAAGCATATGAGGCAGGCCAAAGCAACAGCTGTGGATGTACAGTCTGTGTTCTGGTACTGTGCTAAACAGCCTCATGCTTGCCGAATGCGGTAAACATTTAGCCTGCAAACCAAACTAACCTTGTCTTTGTCTTCTCTATTACAGTCCATCTCAATGAATCAATGAAGCCCACACTTTGTTCCAGCTATGAAAAAGTGTATCAGGGTTCATCTTTCCCTCCCAACTCCTCCTTCCGGCTCGACTTACCTCGTCTGATCAGTATCTACACGGCCAGTCTCCATGCAACGCTCCCAGGCTCCCCAATTCAAGCTCATGCTGTTGCCTAAGCAGTTCTACCTACCCACAAGCGCATGCCCGTGGAGCTTCTCACAGAACCTCTGGCTCCGACCAGACGACACTAGCAACCTCAGCGCGCCTCCCCCCCCTCATGACGGGGGACAATGTCCAGCCCTGCTGAGTCTTAGCCTGCTGATCCTCAAATCGGAATGCCCGAGATGAATGAAATCGGGATGGATACCCTTGCAAAGAAAGGCTTGTTGCTTTTCTGGTATGGTTGGGTTGGGATTTTCATGCAAGGGCGGGGGGCAAACGAGTCGGAAGTGGAAGAGGTGGACAGCAGCAATACACACTCCAACTCCATCGGGGCGAGTCTCGGACATTTTCCCCATCCTCGTTTGGTTCTCCAGTTCCACGATGCCGTCGGGGGACCGGGATAACTTACTGGTAGAGACAAACCCCTCAATGCGCCCCCCACAATTGGTGAAGTGGAAGGTGAATAGGCAGCACTCTACGACTATCCTGAGGGCAAAAAGAGGGTATAGTTAGCGTCCCTGGAACCCTGGTGGTGCACTATCCCCGTATAGACAAACGGCATTGAACTACGGTACGGTCCTCTCGCGGGAGGGCACTTGCTGAGAGTACACAGTATACTACTAGTACTATACGAATGTCGCCATCCCCAGGGCCCATGCAGTGATTGGCAGGAAAACTGAAGAGAAGCGAGAAAGGTAAGCACTGAGATGCACTAACGCTGACGGGCTGAGACTCACAAGTTGAAGTCCCCCGTCCACTAGCCCTAAATCCCCGATCGAGGCAAAGTCGGGCAGTCCAGACTCTTTAAGGCTGTCCCTGAGTGTGTTCATGTGATGGCCCTTCTTTTCCTAGCGTCTTTCTTTGCGCATGCAACTGCTTCTGGCTCGGGGGCTTTTTCCTTTTCCTCGTTTGTGTTTTTTGGGTTTATTGCCCGAGGGGTCAGAGTGTAAGCGTGAATGGTTGGTGGTCGGTGGTGTGTTGGAGATTGTGCAGCGGAGAGAGAGAAAGAGAGGCCAGGGTCGTGTGTCTCAGGGTCCACCCTTTTATCTTTTTCTCTTTTTTGTTATTCTTTATAAATCAGTAGGCAGCAGAATTGCACGAGGATGAGAAAGACCATGTTGTGGTCTAGTGGAGAGAACTGGCACAACATGAAGATACCTAGTAGTTTAGACGCTGGATCCAATCAATCGGACCACCTCCTTCAGGGTCTGGGTCCGATTAGCGGAGTTCTTTTTACAGTTTACCATACTGTGCAGTGTGCAGTCTCCATAATCGAGTAAATCAGAGTTTGGACGCCTCCTCCAATGACAACCTCGCTCCCAGCACATGGGCTGTCCGATTTAGCCGTGAAGACGCAGAACGCCTTTCTTTAAATTGAAGAGAAAGGAATAACCCTCATGATCTACTGCTGCTGTATCTCTGCTGCAATGTGGGTGCTCAAGAAGGGTCTGATGAGGTGTGAATGACTCGGAGTGACTGACTGGCTCTTACTCCCTGCATTGCATACTTCACTTGCAGTCACCACATCTACAGTACATCTACATCTACTTTCCACTGACTCTTCTTCTCCCTCCTTCCCTGTCCACCACACTTCTTTTCCTACAACCACCTTCACCACCTTCACCACCATCATCACCATCCTGTCTACGGGACAGGGAGGCAGACTCGCAAGAGATACAACTCCTTGCGACTTACTCTTGTATCTCTACAGCTCTACTGGTAGATGGCTGATCTGCCTTCGCCTTCCCCGCAGTCTTTCTGTTCCTCAGCATCACCACCGATGTTGACCCCCACCGAGCGCTACCAGCAGATGGACCACCATCCTTGGGTGAACGATTTCCACACGGACACCAAGAGTTCCAGCATTGCAATCAGCGAGTTCGATCCCGAGGCCGATCCTCCGCGATCCCAGGGATTTCGTCGCAAAGACCAGCATCCACCGTCTTTGTGGATGCGGGGACTGGGTCTTATCGCCGGCTTGATTGTTGCACCTCGCGATAAACGGGCCGAGGCAGCTCGTCCTCTGCTTGGCTCTTCTTCTTTCTCTTCCTCCTCCGCCTCTTCTTCCTCTGTCACTCTTTATCACAATTCATCCGTGCGACAGTTCCCCAAGCCCAGACTGCTGCTTCGCTGTCTGCTCTACCCGATCGCCGGGTTTTTGATCATGCTGTAAGCCAACCCCCACCCCAATGCGAACGAACACCTGAACTCATCCACCGCCAAACAGAGGCATTGTGCAATTCATCTCCATCGCCTGCGGCATAATTATCGCTTTCTTCCCCAGCGAACTCGACCGTGCAACCGAGCGGTGGCAATCGCACAGCACAACCCAAGCTATCGACCTCTCCCACTGGCCCACCGATGCCTCCCGTGACATCATCCCCGTGGCCTGCCACTCGCACAACGACTACTGGCGTCCCGTGCCGTTATTCTCCGCCGTCCAGGCCGGCTGCATCGGCGTGGAGGCCGATGTCTGGCTGTTCGACGAGGAGCTCTACGTGGGCCACACCACCTCCGCGCTGACTCCCAAACGCACCCTGCGCAGTCTGTACATCGACCCGCTGCTCCGGGTCCTCGAGCAGCAGAACCCGCTCACCGAGTTCCACCCCCAACTCCAACGGCCCCTTCAGGGCGTCTTCGACACCGACCCCGCCCAGACCCTGGTGCTGCTGATCGACATCAAGACCGACGGCCAGGACACCTGGGACCAAGTCGCCGCCCAGCTGACTCCGCTGCGGGAGCGCGGCTACCTCACCTACTTCAACGGCACCGCCCTCATCCCCGGCCCGATCACCGTCGTCGGCACGGGCAACACCCCCTTCAGCCTCGTCACCGCCAACACCACCTACCGGGACATCTTCTTCGATGCGCCGCTCAACCTGCTCCCCGAAGGCGGAGCCGCGGAGGGAGCCCCGGACGCCGCCCAAGTCTCGTCGCCAAGTGAACCAGCGCACGACCAGCGCCCGCAAGCCCTGAACACCGCCCGCGGTGATGACGCAACCGCCCCTCCTCCGGCGGAAAATGTCGGTCAGGGCCTCTCGGGCGTCACGCCGCAGTCCGAATCCTTCGACTGGACCAACAGCTACTACGCCTCGGTCTCCTTCAAGAAATCCATCGGCGCCCCGCGCGCCTTCCGGCTCTCGGACCAGCAGGTCGACCGCATCCGCGCGCAGATCCGCGCCGCTCACCGCCGCGGCCTCCGGGTCCGGTACTGGGGCCTGCCCAGCTGGCCGCGCAGCCTCCGCAACCACCTCTGGGCCGTCCTGGTGCAGGAGGGCGTCGATATCCTGAACGTCGATGATCTGCAGAGCGCGACCCGCCAGGATTGGCGGCCGAAGTTGTCCGATTTGTGGAGTTAGATAGTTTTTTGGTCTTTCCGTTCATTCTTTGAAGATGCAAGGGAAGGGGAAGGAAGAGTCTGAGCTATGTGAAGATGGAATTCGAGAAAAAGGCGTTTTTGTTGTTTTTTTGTTCGTTTTCTCGCGGCTTGGCGTGGCTTTCCTTATGATGAAATTTCTCTTATGGTGATACCCTTTTTTCTTTTTGGCGATGGGCCCATGGATTGTTCGATTTGGATTTTGCTTTCGTTGCGCTTGGTTTCATGATTACGAGATGCTACGCTGATCCTGATGTGGATTGCTTCCTTTAATGAAAGGAAGGGATCAGTCCGCTATCGATTTCCTCGGATTTCTCTGTGACGCGGTTGTTCGTGGGTGGGAAGAGGAAAATGTTGGGTGTTCGTTCTAGACTAGGTTGCGTTCGTGCTTCTTCTTTTTTTTTTACCTTCTAGAGACAGAAAGACGGAGACAAGAGAGAACAGAATCTTAGATAGAGGTATCAGTTTTCAGCTCTCGGCAAATCCCTTGCTTGAAATTGTGCTAGCTATGGAGAAACCTGGGTGACAGGTAACAATTTGGGTATCATTTGACCAACTTGTGGGTCATGGGGTGAACAACACAAAAGAAGAAACGCTTTTTTTTTCGGAGGCTGGAACACAAAACGCTCACAAGCAGAATAATGCCTCCTCGCCAAACTCCGTGTAGACCGTCCCTTCCTCCCGCAGAATTGCACCTAGCCAGTCTTTGGCCGCGGCGAAGTCCGGCGCACCGAACTTGACTAGCACGAACCCGGCGCGGACCCGGGCCGCTGTGAAAGTCACCTGGGAGTCAAAGTTGGGGGCAGGTTCTGTCGCGGCCGAGCCACTGCACACAGTTGGGGAGGACCAATTGCGGGCTCCAATGCGCGGCAGGGAGGTGAAGCGGTTCATGAAGAAGTTGGCCAGGTTCTCGAATACCGGACCGTAGAGGATCAATGTCCCAACGACCCCGTGCGGATACGTTCGTTCCCGGATCAGATTCGATTGCGCCAGGAGCTCGGGGTCTTGAGCGAGCTGATCCTCGTCGAGTTCGCGGTCCAGGATGAGCGAGTCGCGGAGGAGAAGCTTCTTCTTGCCCGACTCATCAGTCGACCAGACCTCGTTCTTGCCGCGCCAAAGGTGAAAGTCCCAGTTCTCGCCGCGCGAGGCACGGCCCTGCGTCACCCAGTCCAAAATACACAGGCTGCTGCGGTGATGGTCTTTGCTGGAGGTGGGGCCATCGATGGTGAAGGTTTGCACCTGCTCGTAGCGGCTGTCCTTGTAGGGCACGGCGGGGTCGGGGAGGTAACAGAGGGCGGCCTCTTGGCCAACGTGAACGGTGAGATGTTGACTGCTCTTGTCGGAAAGAATGTGTTTGGGAGTGCCGCGTTGGCCCTTGATGCTGGCGTTGGGCTCGGTCTTGAAAATCTTGGTGCTGCCTTGCGGGGTGGTCACCACCATTCGCGTCCGCGGATCGAGCGTAATCGAGACATTGATCTTGTCACCGGGCAGAAGTCCGCCGCCGTAGGTCAGAAGGTAGAGGTGCACGGGTTGCGAGGGACAGGTGAGCGCCGAGGACTTGGGGACGAAACCCGGGGTACGGGTGAGGAGTTTGAGGGGGTATTTGTAGGTCAGGGTCGTCAGGGTTGGATTCAAAGGTGGCAGCAGGGAGAGGACAACTTTGCCCTCTCCTGGCTTCGCTATGCACGACTCAAAGGGGGATTTTATTGGCATGCTGGTGGTAGTGGGGAGTGCGGCAGCGGCAGCGGCAGCGGGGGGACAGGATGTTTCAGAGAAGAATGTGTTTTCTTGACGGTTTTTTTTATTGCGGGGAAAGCTCCCGGGGGTGGACAAGCGGGAAGAGGCTAGGAGAACGAGAATTGAGGAAGAAATACTCGAGCAGAAAGAAAAGAGAGGGTCGTCGATCCGTCGGCTTTTAACAACATGGTCTCTCTTCACTTCCCCAGCAATGCTCTTTTTATTTTTGGATCAATCTCAAAAAGCAATTCCACTCGACCAGGGGGATGGCGTCATGAAATTGGTGAGTTGGTGGTCAAACGCTCTAAATCCCTTGGCCCTGCATTGATTTTGCAACCAAAGATGGAGCTTGTGGCCTTTGTTGACGAAAGAGATCCGGCAGATCGCACTATCGACGCAGGAGTCCCCAGTTTTACTGAAGTCTGCTGGGCGTGAATGACTGCGAATCCTCGCGAATCCTCAGGCAGAAGCGGGGTTGGATTGACCCCGTGAACGCGGAATCAATGATTCACAGTCTGGTCCCTCTTGGCTCTCCGGAAGCGAATGAATGAAAGGAGAGTGGATGGAGTTTGAATGGAGTTGAAAGGCGCTGAACGGCGTTGAATGGCGTGGACTGGAGCAACAAAAGACCGAGTGAGGCACAGCCAGCCGCACAGCCCATGTTTTCATTACGGCATAAATATCACCAACTCCGCACTTTCCTATTTGAGCCATGTCGGTCGGTCAGGTGATCCAGTCGGTCATTCTGCCTCCTCTTCCCGCCTTGGCACGAGATCCCGTGACTTTCACGAAACAATGACCCTGTATGCCTCAGGCAATAAGCTTTCAGGCACCCAAACTTCCCCAGCGCGTCTCTTGTGTCTGTGTCTGTGTCTGTGTCTGTGTCTGTCGCCTGTTCCGTCAACGGAGGGACTCACTCTTAGCAGCAACAGCGACAGCGACAGCAGCAGCATTGCTTGCTTTCCATCCCCCTCACTCACTCACTCACTCACTCTCTCCCTCACTGAATCCAACTACCATTCTTCCCCCCTCCCCCCCTCCCCCCCCCTTCTTCAACTCTTATTCTCCGCTACTAACTCAGTCCCACTCACGAAACGAAACGCACACGCCCTCCAATTGATTATCCTCGTGCGTCTCTGCCAATTTCCCCTGCTGCTTATTCTGTTTCCGCCTTGTCCGCCCACCCGCAGTGCCAACCAAACACACGCGCGCGCAATCCGGTGCAGAAGCCCAACATCGCGTTCCCCGATTCCGTGCCGATCTAGCGTCTATCCAGTCAACAATCCAGTACGCTCTACTATCTTGCGCCAGCTGCTCAACCTCGGCGTATTCATCTCTTTCAATCTGACTGACCATGCTTATTCACATTACAGTGAATTAATCCTCGAGTCTGACCAGAATGGAGACCGAGTCGCCCCTCTCAACGCCCCAGCCTGGGCCGGCCACCCAGAGCGACGCCTCCCCTTCGACCGATCGGAGAAAATCTGGCCGCGTGACGCGCAGACCCGAACTCTACTCACAAAGCTACAGCGCCAGCAACGGCGCGACCCCCAGCGGTGCGAAACGCAAGCGTGCCGCGACCGGCGACAGCAACGATGAAGGCGAGGACGGCGAACAGAGTGAGGACCACGCGTCGGAATCCGACGACATCGAATCCGCCGATGAAGAGCCCGACGAAGAAGAACTGCGAGAGAAGAAGCGCGCCGCGCGCAAGGCATCATCGAAGAAGCAGACCTCCGGGTCGTCCAAATCAAAGTCGAACAAGTCTCAGTCGTCCCGATCGGCCAAGAAACCCAAGGTCGCTGCGGCTGCCGGCAATGGCGTCGGCCGTCAATTGGCCCTGCGACCCGCAATCAACGGGAAGCGGTCGCGGCCCAAGCAGATGAAGGCGCGGTTGACCATGGCTGCTCGACAAGGCGGGCTTTACGGTAAGCGGTGTCACGTCTCGAAACTGTGCATGGTTGTGCGATTGCTGACCGTGGTATAGCGGAGATCTTTGGGAAGGGTCGCAATGTGGAACCGGTTGCCGCGGAATGGCTTACTGCGTACCAGGAGGATCAGTCGGCGGCCGTGACTGAACTGGTCAATATGATGCTCAGGTGCTCCGGAACCGATCTTGATGTCGATACGCACGATATTGAGGACGTAGACAACGTCCCAACTCGTGTGTCAGACTTGGCGACGGAGTACGATGCGGTTGGAATCACTGAGTATCCCCTCATATCGAAATCCCGGAAACTGAAGTCCTTCCAACCCGCCCTCGAAAGCTTCTTCATGGCCCTGATTCAGACTCTGCACCACTCCTCTGTCCTGTATACCGATCCCAACTTGTTCGAAAATCTGCTGGTCTGGATGGCCGGGTTCTCCACGAGCAGGTGCCGACCTTTCAGACATACGGCGGTTGTCATTACCATGACAATCATGAACGCTTTCTGTGATCTCGCTCGAGAGATCACCACTTTGGTGTCCACATCTCGCAAGCAGCTCGAGAGTGAAAGGAAGAAGAGAAACGTGAACAAAGGAAGAGCGGATGCGATTGCGTCAGCTATAGAAGACAATGAACAGAAGATCGAAGTGATCGATGACGCTCTGAAAGACGGCGTCGACGTTGTCTTCGTGCATCGCTACCGGGACATTGACCCCCACATTCGAACAGAATGCATGACGTCTTTGGGACGGTGGATGCGCACGTATCGAGAATATTTCTTCGAAGGACAATTTCTTCGCTATTTCGGTTATATCCTTGCGGACTCTGCTCCTCAGGCACGCCTCGTCGTTGTGAACCAGTTGCGCGATCTTTATGGAAACAGAGACAATGTGGCTGGACTCCGAGCATTCACCGAACGCTGGCGGCAACGGTTGGTTGAAATGGCTGCTCACGACGCAGACATCACAGTACGCGCCTCAGTCATTGAGTTGCTTGACATCGTCCGTGAGACCGGATTGATTGAGCCTGCCGATATAGACACGGTTGGTAAACTCGTTTTCGATAACGAGGCGCGGGTGCGCAAGGCAGCTGGCCGTTTCTTCGTTGCCAATGTTGAAGACGTGTTCGACTCTACCTTGGAGGAACTCGGCGAAGAAGTCAATGAATTGTTTGGTGACGAGGATGAAGACGACTTCGAATCGCCAAAACGGTCTTGGATTAAGTACAAATGTCTGGTCGATATACTGCAGGCTTACGACAATATGGAGAGCGAAGAACACCGAGAAGACCCTTCGATCCCGTCGCGAGACGCACTTCTGGGAGCTTCCATGGAAACTCGATTTGTTCTTGCCACAGAGGCCATTTATCCCCACTTGACTGACCTTTCTCACTGGCAATCTCTAGCTGGATATCTTCTGTACGACCATTCTCAAATTTCCGACGATACCGCGGAGGATGACACCGCGGCCTCGGTCCGACAAGCTTATAAGATGCAAGAAGGCCAGGAAGTGATTCTCCTTGAAGTCCTATGCTGTGCTGTGAAACTGCGCGTTCTCGATATCGCCAAGTCCGACATCGATAAGAGAGGACGAAAAGTCAAGGCGTTGACCGATAAGATTCCAGAACTGCAGGAAGAAATCGCACACAGTCTTGCACAAATCATTCCACAACTTCTGAATAAGTTCGGCTCGGTACCGGAAGCCGCCTCTGCTGTTCTCAGACTCGAGCACCTGGTCGATCTGGGCAAGATCGAAGATATCCAAAAAGATGCAACCGCTTATACCTCGCTGCTGAATGATATCAACAAGCAGTTCCTCACGCACTCGGATCGGGATGTTCTTGCCGAAGCCAGCGTCGCGTTCTTGCATGCTAAGAGTTCTGATGACATGCGCGAGGCTCTGGAGGGCAAGGTACAAGAGCTGTGGGACAACATGATTGACACTCTGGGTACATTATCTCGGAAAGAGGAGGTCGCAGAGGGAGGCTCGATAGCTCCAGCCACTCTCAACGAACTTATCAACACGGTCACCAGAATTTCCAACCTGGCCAGCGTCATCGACTGCACTCACGTTCTGGAAACTATGCCGTCCACCCGGACCAAGGGAAAGAGTAAAGACTTTGCAGAGGCGCCGTTCAACACCTTTTTGCATCTTGTCGAGCGTGGACTCCGTGCAGAGGAGGACGACGAAGACTCGGCGAGGGCAGAAACGGAACTGGTGGTCAACGCTATCAGGACCCTACTTTTCTACTTCATGTGGAAGGTTCACTCGTTGGTTTCGGCCCTAAAAGCCGGCAAGGCGTCCTTCAACACCGCTTTCTTTGAAGCCCTGACCAAAGGCCGCGAGATGTTCGTTGCAGCGCTGACTGCTATCATGAAGAGTCGCTCTGGCCTCGATGATATCCGCTTCTGCGCCGCCACGACTCTCCTAGACCTACAGACTCTATTCGGCACCCTCCGCCATGCGGGGCTCGGCGTGGGCAACGACGAGGACACCATTTTCCAGACCCAAAGCTTGGTCCACGAGATCGGGGACGAGCCCAAGGCCCTGATCACCAAGATCCACGGCATCGCGGAACGGACATACGCGAAGAAGATCCGCGTCGCGCTCGCACCCGCCAATGAAGACGAGCCGTTGTCCGATGATGATATCCAGAAGGCGCCGGTGGATGAAGACGAGGAGGAAGACGACGACGAAGACGCCGACCAACCGCTCGACGACGAGCGTCTCCGGTCCAGCATCGTGGCGGAGCAACGGCTCTGCGAGCTGACCGGGAAGATCGTCCTCGCCATCGTAGGCCGCATCCTGGACGCATCTGGCTCCGACCAGGGCCAACTACGCAAGCGACTTCTTCACCACAAGGCCAAGCTTGGTCGCAATTACCGCGCGGTCCTGGCCTTCCTTGAGGACCGCAAGCCCCGCACCACCGCATCACGAGCCACGTCTGCCCAGTCCAGGACGAAACAACCCGCCGCCCGGCCCACGACCGACAAGCCCAGCGCCGCTAGGAGCGGAGCCAACCCATCAACCAAGCAGCGTAAAGAATCTCACAAATCAGCTGAACGAATTGAGGACGACGACGACGACGACGACGAAGATGAGGAGGAGGAGCACGAAGAAGAGGACGCAATCGAGGACGACGGCTCCGAAGACGGCGAGGAGGACCTCCGCGCCCGAGGTCTCGTCGAGGAAAGAAACATTGACAATATCGATCAAGACGAGGATGAAAACGCGGCCTCCCCCGCGCCGGATGATGAGGACGAAGTCATGGGTGACTGAGATTTAATTCCTGTAGTTTGATTTCGATCTTTCTTTCTTTCCTTCTTCGTATGTGTCCATATTCCATTTGTTTATTTTTATCTGCTTGTTTGGAGACATGGCACAGTTCAGAGGCAAAATTTCACGGTGTTTCTTTTTCGTCTCTTTTTCGAATGTGTTCATTCAAGCCTGGGTTCCTTTCTCTTCTTTTACTCTGTAACTTTCTGTCTTCCTGTGTACTGTTTGGTAGTAGGGTAGGCGTAACTTTATATCATCTTGACTTCTGTTTGCCTTGCTTTGCTTTGCTTTGTTTGATGATTTAGTTTGGTTTGTAGGGGCTGACTCAAGCTAGATGGACGTCTTCTCCGTTGGTTTCTTTCCCTATGCTGCATTGAGTAGAAGATCTGAACGAATGTGTTTGTTCGCGAGTACTATGTTCATGATGATTGATCGATCCCCTTAAGTTTGGGGCGTAGGACTGCCATTCTTTGGGAGATCTTTAGTTGGTCTCTCGGCTTTTGATATATGTACAGTGCAAGCGTACGTTCTGTCAAAGCAGGATTGAGGAGTCAGTCGATATGGCAAGTTAGACCTTTTGTACAGTATTGATGTCAGGTAGTCCAATCTGGATTTCAGAGTCTGTGTGTATGGAATATGCTCTTGGGCATCCAGTCATGTGACGTTGATTACACTGACATCCATATGCTACTCTAAGGTATATATCTACAAGCTACTAGATCGACCATACACTACAAGGGCCTAGCGCTTAAGAAGAGGGAAAACTTTCCATTTTCTGACCTAGAGCGAAAACCATCCCCGCCATCGTCGCTGAATAGAACGATAGATATACCGCTTGGAGTGCGATCTGTTGATCATCTATCCACCCTACCTTCCCCACTGCGTCAGCGGAAAAGAGGGAACCATGCAAAGCTAGCGATATACCACTCTTCCTCTCCAGAAAAGCAAAGGCGGATGGACGGACACCCGCATTCTAAGCCCTCACAAAAAGACAACCGAGGGGCAGAAAAGAACAACCATCCAGGAGAGACATGAACATGAGACCGAAAGGGGGAAGAATGAAACAGGTGCGCCGGTGTATGAGGAATGCTACGGTAAGAGGAAGCAACTTTGGGGGAGAGTACATGACGGTGAATCTTGTTTATCGTGAACTTATCAAAACGGGATTGTGAGTAGGAGGGGGTGGGGGACGGCGGAACGCAAATGTCGAAACCTCGAGTAGCAAAAGAAAGGGTGGTTTGAAATGAGAAGAGGACATTTGTGGCGGTGCAGCGAGTTCTCCCTCAAGCACTCTTGAAGCAAAGAACTTGAATCAAGAGCGATCGAAAGGGTTCAGAGTCCCAGAGTCTCCGCGTACTCGGAGGTTTTGGGGTCCACAGCGCAGCCTCCTCCAGCCGCCATATGTGACAGATCTAGCGATAAGGCATGAACTTGACATGAATACACCAGATCGTTGGAGGTTCAGATTAAGAGTGCGGATAATCCGTTCTTTACATGTCCATGGAATCACCACCACCGTTGGCGAAGTTGAAGCCGCCAGGCTGCTGTTGCGTCGTGCCAAGGGCAAATCCGGTCTGTGTTTGCTGGGGAGCGACCTCATCGATATCACCAGCCTCGTCCTCGTCAGAGAAGTACTTCTCGATGATGTTGTACGCCTTCATGTAGATCTCCTCGTTGGCGTTGTTCTGGCAGTCGTGGATCTTCTCCATGCCACCAGCCTCCTCGATGAACAGGGCGTAGCGGTTGACGCGAGCATCGCCAGCCTGAGCAGCTTCCTTGTCCATGTCACCAACCTTGAGGATGTTCTCGAGGCCGTCCAGCGCAACCTGGATGATCTTGTTGTCAGGGCAAGCAAGGAGATCGCACAGAGGCTTGATGCATCCCTGCGTGACGAGGTAGCGGATCTGCTCAGGCTTCTGGAGACCACCGGAGGTGGCGTTGGAAATAGCCCAGCAAGCTTCCTTGCGGGTCTTGAAGTCGCCATTGGCGAGGAGATTGATGAGAGGAGGAATGATACCAGCATCGACGACAGCCTGGATCTGGGTGGAGTTGCCAGCAGTGATGTTGGAGATGGTCCAGCAAGCTTCCTTGCGAATACCATCCTTGGTGGAGCTCAGAAGGGAAAGAAGAGCGGGGAGAGCACCGCAGTTGATGATGACCTGGGTCTGGACGTCGTCGCCGGTCACAATGTTTCCAACGGACCGAAGAGCAGGGGTCTGAACAGAGGTCGAGGCGTGCATAAGGAGCTCGACAAGGCGGCGGGGGATGCCAGCCTCGATGACAGCCTGAATCTTGTCGTTGGCGCCATCGGACAGGTAAGAGATAGCCCAGCAGGCATCGATCAGGACTTCGTCATCAAGCATGTAGATAAGCTTGGCAAGGACGGGAAGGGCGGGGGCAATCTGTTGGAATGTGAGTGTTAGCGCGAAGCTTTTCTTCATCTGAATGCGGGACAACATACGGTGTTCCAGTCAGGCTGGGGGGTCTTGCCACGGCAGAAGTTGCTCAGGGTCCAGGTAGCGTTGCGAAGCATGCTCAACTTGCGACCATCGTTGATCAAGTTAAGGAGGGGGCGGAGAGCACCGGCGTTCAGCACGAAGTCACGGCACTGAGGGCTGTCACCAGCAATGTTACCAAGGGCCCAGACGGCCTGCTCCCGCACATCGGGCTCGGGGCTGCTCAAGAGCTCGACAAAGATGGGCACAGCGCCAGCCTCGATGACCACCTGGGTTTGCTGGGCGGAACCAGAGGCAATGTTGGTCAAAGCCCAAGCAGCTTCGAACTGAACAAGAGTGTGAGGAGAACGAAGGAACTCGACGAAGCGGCTCACGACTCCAGTCTCAATGACGCGCTCGATAGGAGGGTTGCGCTCCTTGGAAAGCAGCTTCCGGAACTTGGTGGTAGCCTGGATCTGCTGGTCGATCTGCTCGGAGAAGACACCCTTAACCATCTCCGGGAGCTCAACGTTAAGCTACAAAGCAAACTGTTAGCCATCGAAGCAATAAAACAAAAATAGACGAGTGAACATGAGGACCATAAGGTGATGTTGCGCGGGGATAAGTCCTATCCAGCTCAAGCTCACTTTGGCGGCAAAGCGGTGAAAAGCTCATTGCTTCACATTGGCAAAAGCAAAATAAGCTGCGCCGCTACCGCCTGCAGAAAACCAAGCACACGAGCGACAAAACAAAAGGTGATTACATGCTAGAACAGGCAGAGGATGAGAAAAAGCGAGAAGGAAAGCATACCTCACTCTCGATGGCGCTGGCCTCATCATCACTCTCAGCGGCAACACCGCCGCCTACACCAATTCCACCATCACGGGTCTGGATACCTCTTCTCTTGGCCAAGTTCTCTTCTCTCTTCTGCTTGCGAATTTCAACCTGCTGTTCCTCACGGCGACGACGAAGTTCATCAGGCTTGAACTGGTTTCGGGCCTTGAACTGGGTGCGACGGTGCTCGGGGATGTAACGTTCGGCCATGGTTGCTAGGACACAGGAGGGGTGAAAACAAAGCGCACAGGTGGCTGATTAGCTAAAAGAGAGGGGAAGAGGAAAGAAAGAGAGGTAAAATAAAGACGCGAATAGTTTTATGTCAAAAATCAGACAGAATACCAGTGAGGGGGATGGTTCTAGAAAAAGGAGACCAAGGGAAAGCTAGCCTTGGGTAAGAGGGAGATGAGCGCAAAGAAAGAAGTGAAGTTGAAGGAGGGGAAAAAAGTGTTGATGCTCGGAGGTGGGATTGGCTCCAGTCACGGGATGCCTGATGATTTGCTGCTTGCGGTCGCCGCCGACTGCAAGCGCCACTTCCGCCTAAGCGGTTTTGCCGCGGAGGGGCTATCTTGTACACGAGCTGATTGGTCGGACAGGAAAGAGGCAAAAACAAAGATCTTTTGTCAGGGCATTTGAGAGAGTGCACCCAAGAATGCAAAAAGAAGAATTGCTCACACTCGGACTCGAACCGAGGATCTCAGCATTACTAGTGCTGCGCTTTACCATCTAAGCCATGCGAGCTAATTGATGGTGTAGTGCGTCTACCTCTGCTAAATAATCTGATTTTATGCGCGAAACGGAAGGAAGCACGAAACCGCGGAACGCGTCTTATAAGTTGATTGTCATCCAGCTTCATCGTCTACACTTTTTCTTCTTCCCAGAAAATGATTCTCTTAATCCTTACTGGCTTCGATTGATGTGATGATCAGCACTTGGCTTTGATCAGTCACACTACTTCTAATCAATTGGACTCTTTCTGCTCAAGATTCAAGCAGTAGTTCGGCAGTCGAGTCGAAGTCAATCAATGAAATCTAGTCCATGATAACTGCATCGTTCATGGCTTGAATTACTTTCTTGTATCCTTCGCAGACACCCCTAGTATGTCTACTACCAGTTGCAATGCCGGTCAACTTCATTCCCAGACTGGTGGACATCTCCAAGGCGCTCGCGTCTCCTGGCAATGTTAACATCGTCGGCGTCGTGGTCGACGTGATGCCCGGCGTTTGGAAGTCTCGGGGCTCCTCTACCTGCATTACCTTCACGATCAAAGACACCAACTTGGAAAATGGCCATACGTGGGACGGGTTGAAGGTCAAATACTTTAGGGATAACGAGGATAGTCTGCCACCCGTCAAAGTGCATGATGTAATTCTGCTGCGCAACTTATGGGTTCGTGATCGATTCATGGCTGTGTTCCTCAAGCAATTGACACTCACGATTCTCGCTGCAGGTCCGGTCATTACAAGGAGGAACCCTGGGAGTGGCCGCGCAGGATCGGTGCATCCCATGGGCCATTTTCCGTTCAGACCCGAATCCGATGGCCAGGTCCTCGCCGATCTGTGGCCCCCAGCCCTTTGAGCCTGATGCGGTCGAAAGAAAGAAGGCCCTGTCTCTGCTGGACAAAGTCGCTAGCATCCACGACTTTCGCAAAGCTTCGGTGGAAGCCCGTCCTCCACCTTCCTATGTGGTCCAGACCTCAGCCCCGAACTCCAGGTCATACAACCGCAAGAAATTCTCGCTTATCAAAGATATCGAGGAGCAGACGTTCGTTGACTTGGTCGGGGAAGTGATCAAGATATACCCCAATGATAGCGAGAAGGCCTTGCTTTATCTAACTGACTACACTTCCAACAAAGATCTGCACGACTATTCACCTGACAATGACGGGGGCAACGGCGACGGCTGTGAAGGAGACACCTTCAACTACCAGAGACGATTTCGAAAGAAGTGGACAGGGCCCGCTGGTCAGTTGTCTCTCCCGGTCACATTATGGGAGCCACACGCAGCGTACGCCCGTCAGAATGTCGGGGAAGGTGATATCGTTCTCCTGTACAACGTCCACATCAAGAAGAATCGCATCAACGGGAGATTGGAAGCTACCGTTCATACCAACCGAACCAACCCTCTGGCGGCAAACGTGGTCGTCGTGCAACCTCACAAGGACGTGCGAGCCCAGCAGTTGATCGACCGGAAAACCGCATACTGGGAATCACACCCTCGAAAACGAAAGCCCGTTGAGGAAGACAACCAGAAGGCTCCCAAAAAAGTCAAAGCAAAGACGCGGAAGCACGACGCCCCCGCGGAAGGCCAACAGCTTTTGGCCCCGCCCGTCACCAACCGCGGCCGTTACGAAGCAAACCCTCACGGTCAGTCACCTTATATGAATAGGATCCAGGAAGGCTGAAACTGACGACCCTTGATAGTACGCGCCGGCAACCCGTCAGTTCCCACCCGAAGTCTCGAGGCTATAGTCGCCTCTGAAGAGCACACCAACCGGTCACCGGACAACATCGAATACCGCTTTCCCTTCCAGAACTTCTGCTATCGCTCGAAAGTCCGCGTGGTTGATTTTTTCCCTCATAACCTGGAAGACTTCTCAGTCCCAGTTCCCCGAGCCTCATCAAACGGAGGCGGTGACAGAGAAAATAACGACTTCATGACTTGGGAGTGGCGCTTCTGTCTCCTAATCGAAAGCGTGCCCCCGCCCCCAGCAGGGCAAGCCAAGCAGCAAATGAGATTGTTTGTCTCTAGGAGCGAGGCAGTGTACCTCTGTGGTATCGATGCAGTGGAGTAAGTCACAACCGTTCACCTCTGAACAGATTCCATAGGCTGACGCCGTATCAAATCGCCATCACTCAGCCTCAGAAAAAACCCGGTTGACCTTGAGAATCTGCGAGAAAAATTGTTCCATATTTGGGGCAACCTAGAGGAACTCAAGCGAGCAGCCAGGGAGAAAGGCACAGAAGCGCCACGTAATTTGGGTGCATTATCACAGCAACCGTTCAATTGCTGCATTCAGGAATATGGGGTCATGTGTAGGCATCGCATTGGCACGGTCGACGGCGATGATGTCCCGGCATGTACCCATGAGGACTGCTTGGGCTGGGAGAGGCGGTTTGCGATGTTCATGACCACAATCGATGCTTAAAAAGGAACTTGAAATGATGGTTCTTATCTTCTTCTACCTTTACTATACTCCTAGCGTCATGCTTTGAAGGTCATTTCCCAGGGTCTGGTTTGGGTTTTCTGGTCTCCATGTATTAATCCATTGCATCCAACCATCTTGTATAACCTGGGGATAACCTGGGGGGTTAATAACTATAGGGCAATACCTTCATTCTGGATATACGTTACGTTATGAAGCTGAATAGTATGAGACCGCTCCGTATGCTCAGACCTGTGTTAAATGCACCAACTCAAGGCTACCTCGAGTGAAAGGGAGCAGCATTATAAGGAAACCAGCACTTCCAAGGGAGCCCTCTGAATGATAAAAGATAACAGGAAAACAAATGGTCAAAAGGCTTTTCACCGTACCATATATGTTTGTGGTCAGGAACGCTAAATCTTAGTCACCTTCACAACAGTGGTATCGATGCCATGCGAGGCTGGTTCGAACCGACAACTGGAGCCCCAATGGCACTCTCTCTGACCCGGCTCACTATAGGGACACCGGTGTCCAAACGTACATTCGGGGTCGTTGCATTCCAGTCCATAGCGGCAGGGAATCATACGAGCAATGGCTGTCAACATTACATGTTCGCTTCTTGTTAATTTATGCGAGTGATCATGCTGGCAATCATCCACGGGACACTCCCCCTGCAGATGGTAGTAATTGCACAGTCTCAGCTTCTTGAGGCGATTCATTTCCTGCTGGTTAATTTTCTTCATGTCCAGCCTGTCGACTCGTTGTCCGTATTTGTTGCGCTCGACGACCTTGGGCTGTGCGGGCGCGGCCGCTTTGGAGCGCACAACCTGAAACTCCTCTTCTGGGCTGGATGGTCTGGATGAGGCGAGCGATAGTGATACGCTGGGGGTTGTGGACGCTTGGTTCCCAGACCGTGGTGAGAGCTTTGCCTCCGGCTTGGGTGACGGAGTGAGCTGAGAGCGGGGCTGCGTGGCCACGGCAGCTTTCCAGGGAGACCAGATGGGAAAGATCTTCGAGTCGCGGAAGATCTTCGGCCACTGCAACGTCCTGAATGATGAGCTAACTGCATTCAAATTCTCTCCGAAAGGCAATGCTTCGAGCAAGGTCACTCGCCCCATCAGGTCCTTGTCGTCAAGGTGATCTCCCAGAACTTGGAAGAAGGAATTCTCGTCCGCACAACCTAGGAGAATTTGATGACAGTGGCAGTTATAGAGATTGAGTTCAAAGGCCTCTGCATGGAAATGGTTGTCAAATCAGCGTGGAATGAATGCAGGATGGAGACTGAAGAAGCTTACCAGCGATCTTATTGTGCGCACTATCCGCTTCGGCGCCCGTGTCCACGATGTCGATCGAAGGATAGCAACTATTGAAGCCGCGAATAAAGTCCTGCAGCAACAACGGGTCTGTGGTTATGCCGCCTCGAATGCAGGTCTCGCTTAGTGCTTTCACATTGATATACATTCTTGTCAACAATTTGGGGCCCTTCGCGCTGGGGAGCTGGTCGGTGTTAAAAGCCTCAAGCTCGTTGTGAAGCTTCTGGGCCGCGAGTTTCCCGCCTGACGTCCCCTTTTTGAGGTACTCATCCTTAAAAATGAACCCAGACCCGTCCAAGAGAACAATTATGTAGGGTTGGCGGTTCTGGAATGCGATGAGAAAGTTGAGGTCAGCACAGACTGTGTCGCGGGAACTATAGAGCGTCAGACCCACCATGGAAAGCTGGAACCGAGAGACCTGTCCCATTAGTTCCATCTCATGTACTTGAATATCTCGATTGAAGCGCTTCTCGCGCTCATGATCAAGCTTTTCCTGTTCGAATGCATCTTCAAGCTGCGCCACTCGCTGCAGGAGTTCCTGTGCGCCGGAAAAGGTAGTGTTAAGGCAGTGTATACATATATGGATTATCGCGGATTGAGTAGTTGTGCATGTACCTCAATCAGCAGGTTCTTTTTCTGTTCGGTGAGAACCAGGTTTCTATAGCGATCCAGATACGTGGTGGCCGTCATGGTGATCAGTCAAGTCAGGGTTAAACGCGGTATTGGTACTTCTGGCTAATCGTTCAAACCAACAACAAGAAAATGAAGTGTGGAGGTTAGATCAGGAAGAGAGAAAGAGTCAAAGATAAGTGTTGTATATATAATGAACTTCAGACGAGCTGGAGATATAGGCAGATGAATTCAGAAACTAAGTATAATTAGACATTCACTGCGATTGAGATTACAACACAAAAGAAGGAGAGGAGAGAAGAGGAGAGAGAAGTTGCTCTACAAGGATTGCAATCAAAGAGTCAAAGGCGTGGAGCTGGACTGACACTTGACACTGGCACTTGCACTAAATAGTGAATAGTCTACGGATTACTAGTGCAGTAAGTCAGTAGGTAAGTTACTGTACAAAACAAAGTACGGAGACTGGCCTGATAAGCGCGGAATGGCAACTGGCAGATTCACCTTGGAAGCTGGCGACTGACCGCCCGGGGAAACTGCCGTAACTGCCGGAACAGCTGAGTCAGCTGTTAACATGGGGAAAGCAACCGAACCGAAACGCCTACGTGGAGCAAACGCCCTCCCAGCCGATTTCCCCTTCACATCATCATCTACGATCCTCCTCCTCCTCCTCCTCTTCTTCCATCTTCCTCTTTCCTTCCCCCCACCTCTTCTTCCCCCCCCTTCCCCTTCCCTTTCTTTCGTTCTCCTCTTTCGGTTCTTGCATCGCTACCTAAAGCCGTCACACAATGGCTCGTCTTGGTTTCTTGTCTCTGGCTCTCCTTTCCGTCCAGGCCCTGATCGGCGGCGGTCTCGCGGCTGTATGTTTTACCCTCATCTGAATCAATTAGATGACTCACGTGTCTCAATGTTCGAGTCACTAACTTAATGCTCTTTCTCATATCTCTAGGACGCTGTCGAGAAGGAGGAGGCCCCCCAGACTCCCAACCTTGCTGTCACCGCGCAGGCTGCTTTCCCTGCCTCTGAGTTCTTTGGCGTGAAGCTGGTCAATGGCCACCCGACCCAGGCGCTGATCACCTTCGCCAACGATGAGCCCAACCCGGTGACTGTGAACTTTATTGGAGGTTCTCTGTGGTCCATTGGCGAGGAGGAGAACCGCATCGTTCGCAACCTGACCGCCCACCGGTACAGCCTCGAGATCCCGGCCGGTGAGCAGGAGAGTGTGAACTTCAACTTCGCCACCGAGATGCACCCCCAGGATCTGAGACTTGAGCTGGCTTCCGTCATCTCTGACATCGAGGGCAACGTCTACACTCTGTACACCTACAACGGCACCGTCAGTGTGGTTGAGCCTGAGACCAGCATCTTCGACCCCCAGATGTAAGACCTCACTACTCCCAGTCACCCAGGGAATATTCACTTATAATGCTGGCCACAGTCTTTTCCTGTACTTCTTCCTCCTGGCCTGCTTCTCTGGTGTCGTCTACTTCTTCTACACCGTCTGGATCGCCCCCTACTTCCCCCAGAAGCGTCGCGCTGGCAAGGCCCCCGAAACCACCAAGAAGTCGACTGTGCCCAAGAAGGAGGAGATTCCCGTGGAGGGACCCGCTGTCACTTCTGCCACCACCTACAACGCCGACTGGATCCCCGCTCACCACATCAACCGCCCCGAGGCCCGCAAGGTGAAGGGCAGCAGCTCCCGCTCTAAGAGCCGTGCTTAAATGTCATTGGTGACATCATGAACGGTGGCTGTGTAAGATGAAGATAAGGGAAGGATCCAATGCTCGTAGAGGGGACCTTGAGTGGTTCTTTCTATAAGGCTGAAGACAGGAAGACCAGTTGACAGATACGACTGCTGAAAACGTGGTCAGCCGACTGGTGGTCCTGTTCTTTCATTTTGCGTGTACATTTACGTCCACAGTTGATTTAGGCAAATGAAGCTTTTGCAACTTAGGCTTCAGGGTTCCATTAGAAACACTCAAGGATCGAATAATGAAGTTACACAAGGGGTACCACGCCCTTGGTCCTTGAATCCAAACCTTTTACCATCTCCACGTGTCCACTGTGGATCTTCCATTATAACTGCCTCCAAGCGTCAAACTCCTCCGCGAGGTGCGCCTTGAGCTCGGCAAACCGATTCCCAAACCCCAGCCCACAGCGCCAGCAGACAAAGTCCCGGCGCAGATACCCCATCTCATCCGGCCTGCGCCGGGGATCATCCTCCGCCAGCGGGAAGTCGTCGATGGGCACGAAGAACGGCGTAGAGAAACTATTGTAGTGCTTCCGATGCTTCAGCCGGTCGCTGTACCGGTCCACGGAGAGGACATGGACGTGCAGATGGTTCATGGACGGATGCGCGTGGATCCCACACATGAGCTCGCGCTCCCAGTCGCGCCCGCGCGGCAGCTCCGCCGGCGGGGGGTTGCAGTCCAGCGCCGCCCGCCGCGCCGCCTCCTGCGCCGAGAACCGCCCGTGCAGGCGGCGCAGCTCGCCCGCGGCCAGCGCGCGCAGCCGGTGCGTCTCTGCCCGCACCTTGTCCAGGAATTCCCCGTCGGCGAGCGCGTCGAACGGGTGCAGCCGGGTCTTGGTGGGGTCGCGCGGCAGGAGGAGCAGGTGTAGCGTGGATTTGGGGAAGAGGTCGCGGACTGCGACGAAGGAGTCGTTGTGGTAAATTACGGTGGTCGGGGGGTAGGCCGTTGGGTTGGCGATGTAGGCGCCGAGTCCGTCGCGGGGACCCCCGATGGCTCTTCGTTTTGAGGTTGGAGTGGTGGTGGTGGCGGTGGTGGTGGTGGTGTCGGTTTTGGTGGATGTCGATGTGGATTTGCGCTGCTTGCTTTTCGTGGACATTAGCTCCGCGACTGTGGGATTTTTTTGGTTAGAACTATGAGTGATTGTTTTATCGAGTCTCCTCGGTATGCGCCGGGAGGTAATGCGAGGGAGAGGGGTGAGGAGTGAGTGTAGGGAAAGGGCATAAACGGCGCAACTGCAATCGCGATGGATCGCTAGCGCAGCGCTCGAGTCGGACATACAGGCATCTCGCTTGGTCGCATTCTTCTTCTCCTTCCCATCTCCCGAACTGTCTGCTCTGTAACCCGATGACTCGGACATGGTAGCAGAGCTATAGTATCACGAGTACCTCACCATTGCTTGCACGTGTTTGTGGTCGCAATGAAATCATCAAGCAGTGTAGTAGTAGAAAGAGGGAAAGTTCAGATGCGGAGAGCACAACCCGAGCCAACTTAACCCAAATTGCTCCCCGCAGCGACACCAACTCGACCAAAGCGGTCAACGTGCGGGACAACAATTAAGTCAATCAATTCATTAATTGTCAACCCAGCAGCCAGCCAAAAGTAAATCTCCGTGCCACGACTTCGTTCTTTTCTTTGCCTACCAGAGGGGCATTCCCTTGCTCCCTCTCCTCCCCCCATTGTAATACTATCAACATGGGCCCCAAGAAAAAGTCCGAAAACCGGGGAGGCGCTCCCAAACCGGGGACGAAGCAGGCCAAAGCCGCGGCCGAGCGCACGGCTGAGACGGCGAAGAAAGCGCAGACCACGACCGACGAGCAGAAGAAACCTTCGGTCAAGGAGGTCATCGGAGGGGCATCATGGACCGGGAAACTGCCCGTGAATATGCTCGCGGAGCATTGTCAGAAGCAGAAGTGGGAGAAGCCGGAATACACGATGGTGAGTTTTGTGGGATCTGGGTTCTTCTTTGGGATAGCTCCCAGGAATCATAACCCTCACACCTTTTGTGTGCTGCCAGCGGGCGCGCAATGTCTTTTGCTTGGACCCGATTCGATGGACAGGGATCTGACTGCAGATGTGACAATAGATGAAAGTCTCAGAGGGGTTCGTCTCCAGCGTGATATTGAAGCGCGTTGATCCTAAGACTCGCGAAACGATCGTCCTTCCTCCGATGAAGCTACCCCCGTCGCATAAGCACCTCGCCGCTCAGCCTACCGCGCTCGAGGCTCGACATTTCGCCGCGGCGTATACGTTGTACCGAGTCTGCAATATGAAGAATCTCCACATGATGATGCCGCCCACATATAAGAAGCTCTGGCGCGAGGATTTCACGGATCTCAAGGCGGCGGACTCCAGGGAAGGGAAGGGCTGGATGTACGAAGCTGACCCGTTTCTGGCGAAGCTGGAGCGCGAAAGCGCTGCGGCAGACTTGGAGAAGAAGCGCAAGGAACGGGAGAAGCTTCAGGCAGCCAAGGCAGCGGAGACGACGGTCGATCTGGGACTGGGTTCCAGCGGTGGTGGGCAGAGCAAGGGACGGAACATCTGGTCGCGTGCGCCCAAGGTTGATCTTGGCGGCAAGATCCGTCGTGAAATTGAGGGTATGCTGAGAGAGCATGCGATCTGGAACCCCTACGGGGTGGAGATTCCGCGAAAGGAACGTGGTGCCATTGTCGACGAGCTCACTCGTCTCGGCTTCCGACGCAGCCACGTCGAGGAGGCGGTCGGCACTTGTAAAGACCGAGAAGAGGTTCTCGAATGGCTCCTCATCTACGTGCCGGAAGATGATTTGCCTCGCTGGTGTCTGCCCGAGGGCTACTCGGCGGGTGTGAGTCTTGCAAGTGATGACCTGGCCAGAGAGGCCAAGATCAAGCGTCTCACTGCGATGGGATATCCCGCTGATCTCTGCACGCGGACTTTGGATAGCAAGAAGGGAGATGAGCTTGCGGCAGCAGAGATCCTCCAGAATACATTGGTCCACGGCGGAAATGCTTCGGCTGAGCCTGCTTCATCTGGGGAGGAGGACTTATGGGCAGAGGAGCAAGAAACACTTGAGGCAATTTTTGGGGAAAGGTATATACGGGCTTCTGACAAGGTCTGTGAGATCAAGGGTGAAAATTCCGATTTGCCAGAGTCGTTGACTTTCCGGTTCCAACGACCTTCGAGGCACTATCCATCTTCTCCGCCGATCATCTCTATCCAGGCGAAAGGTATTCCTGCCTATATACGTCTTAGTGCGATACGTCAGGTGGTTCAGTACTCCGAAGAGAATTTCGTGGGAGAGCCTATGATCTATAACATGCTGGATTGGCTGGAGACCAATCTTCCCTCAGTCATGGAGAATCCAGGGAAGCTGCGAGACATCTCGACGGTGACAGCTCCCCTAGCCCCAGCCGGGGCCGACTCGAATCTTCCCGTGCGCTCGTCGCGCAAGAGAGGATATGAGGTCAAGTGGCAACCAGGTGCACCACAAAGCGTCTCACTACGCGAGTCCTGGGAAGCGAGGCAATCAACCAAAGAGCAGCAGGAAATGCTTCGAAAGCGCCAGTCGCTCCCGGCCTGGAACACTCAGGAGGCCATCATCAATGCTGTGAACACACATCAAGTTACAATCATCTCCGGAGAGACCGGTAGTGGAAAGAGTACCCAATCCGTTCAATTCGTGCTCGACGACCTGATCAAGAGAGACCTCGGCGCGGCCGCGAACATCATCTGTACCCAGCCGCGTAGGATCTCTGCTTTGGGCCTGGCGGATCGAGTCAGCGATGAGCGATGCACATCCGTCGGCGACGAGGTTGGATACATCATTCGAGGAGAGTCGAAGGCTAAGTCAGGGCGGACAAAGATTACATTCGTCACGACGGGTGTTTTACTTCGTCGCATGCAGTCGGGCGGTGGTCCTAATGGCGATGTTGCAAGCTCTCTCTCAGATGTCACTCACGTCGTCGTTGATGAAGTGCACGAGCGCAGTCTCGATACCGACTTCCTCCTAGCCCTTCTCCGAGACGTTCTGCGCCGCCGCAAGGATATCAAAGTCATTCTGATGAGTGCAACCCTCGACGCAGAGATCTTCATCAACTATTTCGGCGGCCGGCAGTCGGTTGGGCTGGTCAACATCCCGGGACGTACTTTCCCTGTCGACGATTTCTACTTGGACGATGTTATTCGTGACACTGGCTTCTACCCGGAGCTCACCGAGCGGGACTTCGACGAGGAGGCTCCATCCTCGCAGCAGACCGACGAGCCCCTTGGCAAGGTCCTCCGAAGCCTCGGAATGGGTATCAACTACGAGCTAATTGCCTCTACCGTCCGATATATCGATGCCAAGCTGGGCGACCAGCCTGGGGGCATCCTGATCTTCTTGCCCGGTACCATGGAGATCGAGAGATGCCTCAACGCTGTGAGGAGAATCCCGAATACTCACCCGCTACCTCTCCATGCTTCTCTTCTGCCCGCCGAGCAGCGTCGGGTCTTCCAAAGTGCCCCCAAAGGCATGCGAAAGGTCATCGCTGCCACCAACGTCGCCGAGACATCCATCACTATCGAAGACATTGTGGCCGTCATTGACACCGGCCGCGTGAAAGAGACGAGCTATGACCCGCGAGACAACATTGTCAGGCTACAAGAGGTGTGGGCTTCGCAAGCAGCCTGCAAGCAGCGCCGCGGACGTGCCGGTCGTGTCCGGGCAGGAACATGCTATAAGCTCTACACACGCAAGGCCGAGACGAGCATGCCTCACCGGCCTGACCCGGAGATCCGGCGCGTACCGCTGGAGCAACTCTGCCTGTCCGTGAAGGCCATGCAAGGCATCAGCGACGTCGCGCACTTCCTCGCCAACACCATCACGCCGCCCGAGAGCACCGCCGTCGAGGGCGCCCTGGACTTTCTGCACCGCGTCGGGGCCCTCGACCACGACCGGCTCACAGCCCTGGGCCGCTACCTCTCCATGATCCCGGCGGACCTCCGGTGCGCCAAACTGATGGTCTACGGCTCGATCTTTGGCTGCATCGACGCCTGCGTGACCATCTCCGCCATCCTGACGGTCAAGAGCCCCTTCGTCTCCCCGCGCGACAGACGCGAGGAAGCCACCGCCGCCAAAGCCGCCTTCACCAAGGGCGCCAACGACGGCGACCTGCTGACCGACCTGCTCGCCTACCAACAATGGTCCGACCGCGTGCAAGCCCACGGCTACTGGCAAACCCAGAGCTGGTGCATCGCCAATTTCCTCTCGCATCAAACTCTGCGCGACATCTCCTCCAACCGCGCGCAACTCCTCACCTCCCTTAAAGACGCCGGCCTCCTCCCGGTTGACTACTCCTCCTCCTCACGCGGCGCCAACAACTGGAACCGCAACACAACCAACAAACCCCTCCTCCGCGCCCTCATCGCGGGCGCCTTCCAACCGCAAATCGCGCAGATCTCCTTCCCCGACAAGAAATTCGCCGCCTCCATCACCGGCACCGTCGAGATCGACCCGGACGCCCGCACCATCAAGTACTTTAACCAGGAGAACGGCCGCGTCTTCATCCACCCGAGCTCGCTGCTCTTCTCCGCCCAGAACTACCCCGGCGGCGCCGCGTACCTGAGCTACTTCACCAAGATGGCGACGAGTAAGGTGTTTGTGCGGGATTTGACTCGTAAGCTGCCCCCCCCCCTTTCTGCCCTCTTTCTGCCCCCTGCCCCCCTACCTGCAAATCAATTTCTTTTGTTGACAAGCGTGCACAGCATTCAACGCCTTCTCCCTCCTCCTCTTCTGCGGATCCATTGACCTCGACACCACGGGCCGCGGGCTGATCGTCGACGGGTGGCTGCGGCTGCGCGGCTGGGCGCGCATCGGCGTCCTCGTGTCCCGGTTGCGGATGATGCTGGACGAGGTGATTGCCGGCCGCATCGATCAGCCGGCTGCTGGGGTTGGGTCTGCGGGCTCCGGAGGGGTGAGCGGGCCGCTGGCGGACCAGGTGATCGAGGTCGTGAAGCGGTTGGTCGAGTTTAATGGGTTGGATCAGTGAGGTTTCGGGGCGGCTGCGGGCGGCGGACATTGGATGAATGCATGATTGTTTTTGGGAAGATATTAGCTAGATCGTTGGTTAGATAGATAGATGGGTCGGTTGGCAGAGGACCCGACCCGGCTTGCTTTGGTGGGGGATTTGCTTGGTTAAGATGATGCTAGAAGAGAGGTCGTCGTACTAAAGCATGGAGGAGATAGAGATAGAGGGATATCTAAGAGGGCCTGGGTTGGTATTTACTGACCGTGCTGGTGGGACAGCCGGTGTCAATGACAGCGCTCTGTACTAGCCCCTAACCCCAAGCCTTGAACTAGATTTAATAGGTCAAGATACGCCGCTGCAGCATATAGAATAAGAAAAGTAAGATTCATTTTCATTAATACCTGCGCCATAATCCTGGATGATAATCC